CTTGTACAACGGACATTCCGCGACTACATGAACACGGTCTTCGCATTCGAAGCCGCAATCACATTTGAACTCGTCGTCTTCCTCGTCTACCGTCCTATGTCTTCGTCGACGTTCTCGAAGGCTGATGTCCCCGGTCCTGAATTTGACCTTGAGCCTCGTTCCTGTATTCTGAAGCTTTAGCTTCAGCTTCTCAAACCAATATCCGGGTTTCATTCGAGTACCCCACCCCTTGCCCGACCCGGCCCGAAATGCTGATCTCGAGCTACAACGCAAATCTCGCGCAGTCTCGGGTATGGTTCGGTGGGGAATCGCAGATCATCACCCCTACCCGAGTTTGAGGAGGTTCCGCCTCTTGTGGCCGACAAGCGTCGGCCTTGGTTGTATCGCCCCGACGGGGCGGTTGAACAGACGTAGAGGGTCCGTCCGTTGCATCGCGGCTGTTTTTTCTGTCCAATACATCACATTTTTTTTTTTTTCTTGCTGATAATGAGCTCGCTTGTGAGCTTGCTACGTGAGCGGGGTTCCACCTTACGCCACCTCGATGGTATGTATCCCTCAGGCTACTGTTGCACCACAGCCGGCATCTCGGAGGTGACGGTATCTCTTTGTGTTGGACGCCCGTCATGCACGCACAGCAACAAAATCGTCATGAGCATGTCGGAATATCTGCTGCTGTATCGCGGCTGTTTTTTCTGTCCAAACAACATTGCTGAATGAGCTCGCTTGTGAGCTTTCTACGTTTTTGTATGTGTTTCCGACCGCATGTCAAGCAAGCAGGAAGCACATGTAATGTCAACTGCCGCGATCGTTGCCTCTTGTCTTGGTGCCGTACATGCGGTGGTGGTGGTGGTGTGCATCTACGCGGCTACCCGTCGAACGTCATGTTATGTAAGTGCTGCTGTACACGTTGACAAGTTGAGTTGATGATGATGTGCAAGTACCCGAGTTGAGCAGTTTTCCCGACCGCATGTCAAGCAAGCAAGACCAGTATGTAATGTCAACTGCCGCGATCGTTGCCTCTTCTCTTGGTGCCGTTCATGGTTCGGTGGTGGTGGTTGTGTACATCTACGCGGCTACATACCCGTCGAACGTCGACACAAGTTGACATATATATATATAATGCAACTGCTGCTGTGCACGTTGACAAGTTGACTTCATGATGATGTGCAACTACCCGACGCTCTACGTTGTATTATGTTGTCTGTGTGTAGATAACTGTAGAGAGAGCCGCAAGCCACCAACTGTCAATTAGTGCAGTAAAGTAGGTGATGGAGGAAGGAAAAGCGCGTACTAGCTTGCCTTCGCCCTAAGACCTCTTCTCTCCCCATCTCATTCCGGACTATTGGAATATTTTCACAAATTACTTCCGTCAACGTGTGAAATCTGATTGTTTTCAAGGGTCCCCTGGACATGTTCTTCGGGCTCTCGGGTCTCTCCGCACTGTTTTCTAGGGTCCCCGGGGCTTTTTGATGCGGCTCTCGGTCTCTCCGCATTATTTAGAACAGTTTGTTAGATAACTGCTGTGGAGAGAGCCGCAAGCCACCAACTGTCAATTAGTGCAGTTNGTGTTTATTGTAGTGCGATTTCTTCCGCGTTTACTTCTTTGTTCGTATTTTGTCGTCGTAAGTGTTTGTCGTACGTATAGCGGTAGCATCGTTTCATATGATTAATTGCGGCCTTCCTTGTCGCCTTGGGTTTCCTGCGTCTCGCAGTCCTACCGTCAGCACTTGCGGCTTGCCGTCACAACAACAGCATCGAAGCTTCAGACCCGCAACTCCGACGTAACTCGTCGAGGAGTTGCATATCAATTAGTCATGCAGGTAATTCTTAAACCCTTTTCCTTCCTTAAACATTCCGTACACATCTAGACCCCCCTTATCCTTGCAGGGGGGGGGGTGTACTCATAGTCGTGCATGCCGCAGTCGTTAGACCATTGACCTCGCATCCCTACAAAGCCGGGACGGAGCACGCCGGGTTCTCACCGGACCAGGCTCTCACATCACCAAGCGCGAAGCGCCGTGAGGTATTCGGCGAGTCGCATGAACGGTGCGCTGCACCCTGCTAAGGGTGTTCGGCATCTTGTGCTTACTCCCTTGCATACGGATGACAGCTGCGTATGACTTAATATAATTTCTTGTGCTCTGACTTCCAGAGACAGTTGTAAGCACTGTGTTACTTGACCGTACTAACACGACGTGCAGGGGGGGGTGGGGGGCAATAATGCCGATGGAATTTGCGGGGCAAAGGTGGACAGCCGTCTTTCCTCATCGCTGAGCGGTGCCGGGCGCTCGCTTTATTGCCGGTGAAATGGGCTGGCGGATGGCGGCACCACTGAGCCTCCGGTCACTACTGTTGACAGAATCGGCTGTTCCGTCGACAGAATCTAGCCGCCTTTCGATCTCGACTCTGGAAAGGAAGATGCGTGAGTGCCGATTTGTGCCGGAGGCTGGTTATTGTTTTTCGTTCCTGTCCCCCAAGGTCGAGCGAAACAATGAGTGAGGCCGCCATTTGGCACTGTTGAAACGCCTCCCCGTTCCACACCAAACGAAACCCCGCCGTGGTGAACCAGATAACACAAAAGTATTGGTACATCTCACACTTTTTCGTCTGGTAGGATCCAACGAAGAGGTCACGTCACCAACCACACGACATAATATGCACATCATCACATGACTCGGTTAAATCCACCGGGCGTAAAAGAAGCCAGGAGGTAAAACGTTGGTAAGGAAAAAGGTGGTCCGTGCCCGTCGACATGCCGACATGGGGGAGAGTATTGTCAAACATGCCAAGACAGGCTACAGCAGTGTGAACACATCCCCCCAGTGGATTCGACGCCGAGTCGATGGCCGTCACTGACTGCAACTGTTGTCATTTCCAACCAGTCAGACACGCCGTCTGGAGAAATAGGCGAGGAAATCCGCCGACGACGCGTGCATTCAGCACGTCAAAGCTTCCTGTCGCTGAATTACTTGATGAATGATGCCCGCCGAGGTGTGTCAAAAGCAGAGGAGAATAATACCGCCTCAAGGACGAGCCCTGAGCCGCTGCAAATGACTCAGAACAGGCCAACACTGCCGCCAAGCTCTCGACTCCCCAACTGCCTCAAGCCAACCCCAATTGACTAATGACTGCACGTATCGCCGAGACAAGAAGATCCCGCAAGGAAGGGTCCTGCGAACGGTTCGCTACCATACCCAACCCTCGAAGATTATATATTTCTTTACTACCGATACCTGCATTTTGGAGACCCGCCATGGACGCCAGCTTCCTTCCACTCATGTATGCTCGCACCCCGATCAAGTTAACCAAGTTGGCCATCCATGCGAATGAACTCTGAAAATCAATTAGCATTTTCCTCCTTCTGAGATCAACCTCGACTAAAATTGCACGTATACAACACTTGCCTGTAACTTCATTACTATTGCCGCCAGAAAAAAAAACACTCACCGATCAGGAGTACAACACCTTGGACATACATTACAGGAACCCCACGACACTCCGGAATACATCTTCCTCGCGTAAACCAAGCACAGCCGCCACCAAGTTGCTCAAGCCAGCAGCAGCAGAAGCATATATATCCCTTGGTGCAATGGCCCCTTCTACTTCCTGTTCGAGCGTCGCCGCAGCGTTGAACCTTGCCCCAGTAGCGGAATCCCGCGCTCGAACGTTCCGTGTCGAACTTCTAGTACTTGCTCCCTCGTTCTTCGCTTTCGGCTTTACCCTGTTGGGCCTAGTGCGGCCCAAGACTAGCCAGCCGCGACGACGCCATGTTTTGTCCTGGGGCGCCTTTGATAGCAAGCGTTGAACTTGCGTCGTGTCGTCCGGGAACGGAGCAGGAAAGGACGAGACTTGTTGCAAAACTTCTCGAGCGGTCTTGCCTTGTGAGTTTACGGCGTTTTCATCTGCACCCCATCTCAACAAAAGGTTCACTGCGTGAGCCACGTCGGCTGCAGAATCCCAATGCTCGATGCGGTTCACTGCGTGGTGAAGGGGAGAACATCGGCTGTTGTCCACCGCTTGAATGTCGGAGCCGCTTCTCAGGAGGGCGTGTATAGCTGAGCAGTCCAGTTTCGAACAAGCAACGTGAAGAGGTGTCCGGCCGTCCTCATCTTTAGCACTGACCATAGCGCCTCCGTCGATGAGAAAATTGATCGGGTGCACATGGCCACCGTAAGCGGCTACGTGCAACGGAGTCTGGCCACCCATTGCGTATATCTCCGTGTCCGCCGCGTTCCGAAGTAGTTCCTCCAGTACGGCGGGGTGCTGATGCTCCGAGGACACATGCAGTGCCGTGCACCCAGTCCACTTGCGGACAGCGTTTACCTCCGCACCAGCGGCGAGGAGGGCTTCAACTACTGGAAGGGAGTTAGCGTGCGCTGCGCACGAAAGCTGTGAATAACCGCCGGTCTGCACATTTGCGTTGGCCCCATGCTTCAACAGGGTAACTATAGTGGTCTGCCCATCTTTCCTTGCACGCCTGCCGAAGTCGTCGAAGGCCACGACCAGAGGCGTCCTGGAGGACTTGTCCAGCACTTCCAAACTCGCCCCAGCCTTGATAAGCACGTCAACAACAACAGCATGGTTCTTGGACGCTGCCTGGTGCAAAGCAGTCGAGCCCTCACTGTCCGTCGCGCCCAAACCCGCTTCGTGACGAATCAAAACTTTGGCCACGTCGGCGTGCCCGTTCAACGCGGCTATTGACAGAGGTGACGAGCCATCTTTGTCAAACGGGAGGTCGACACTGGCGCCAGCAGCCAGCAGGGCTTGTGTCGCAGCAACGCTACCGCACGCCGCTGCCACGTGAAGCGGCGCTTCGCCATCACCGGAAAGCGAATTCTCGTTAGCCCCGCCCTCCAAGAGCGTGTTTATTATGTCGCAGGAGTTTCCGCCGGACGCTAAATGGAGGGGAGTGCGACCGCTGGTGTCCATCCTGCTGATGCTAGCCCCATGCTTCCAAAGAGAGCGGGCGGCCTCGGAGCACTCGTCGATGGACGCTACGTGGAGGGGCGTAAAGCCGCTCTCCGGATAAACGGCATCCACTTCAGCCCCTGCTGCTACTAGCGTATCGATCACATCAGGCTCGTTTTCGGAGGCAGTCTTGTGCAAGGTAGTCAACCCATCTGCGTCTCTGGCATTCAACCTGGCACCGTGCCGGATTAGCCGTTGAACGATGGCGACTGTCCCTTCTTAGCGGCCAAGTCTAGCGGCGTATCTCCGCTGTCGTACTTATTTGTGCGGAGATGAAGCCTCGCGCCAGCGTCCAGAAGGGCATTGACAACGGTAGTGTGTCCTCTTTTGGCCGCAATATGGAGGGCAGTGCGGTGATAACTGGCCAGCTCGTGAACGTCCGCACCATTCCTCAGCAGGGCCAATGCAGCCTCTAGTGAACCGCTTGCACTTGCCACATAGAGCGGTGTCTTACCCTTTCCACCCCCTCCCCCGAGCGTTGACGTGCGCTCCTGCTTCGACAAGCGCATCGATCGCGCCTGCCTGATTGCTCTCAGCGACCGCGTGTAGCGCAGTGAGGCCTTGAGAGTCGCGAGCATTAACGTCCACCCCGTGCCGCACCATTGCTCGCACTACATCCACGTCCCCATTAATGGCAGCCGTTTCCAACGCTGATTCGTTGTTATCACCGGAGCGGAGGCTCAGGTCCGCTCCGGCAGCCAATAGCACTTCCACCGCAGGACAAGAACCTACGGTTGCTGCGAGGTGCAAGGGAGTCCGACGCTGGTTATCCAGCGCATCCACGACAGCCCCTTGTTGAAGAATCAGGGGCATCATATCGTCACAGCCCAAGCCGGCGGCAAGGTGCAGAGGGGTATGGCCCATCTCGTTACTCTGTGTCAAGTTAGTTCCTAGCCTTAGGAGTTTTCGCCCAAGCCCTTATTGATCACTCCCCATTGCCAGTAGAAAAGCATTCCCGCTCGTCCCTGCTGTGTGCAGCTTCATCACGAGGTCAAGGTTCCCCGCAGCCGCGGCATACTTCAACGGAGTAAGAAGCCATTCCGCTCATTCCTCTACAGCTGACCCGGCGCAAACGAGGTCAAAGATGGCACCCTCTGCCCCATTCAGGATGGTCCTGCCCTGCCCGGGCTGTACGCGTGGTTCTTGGGTGGTCATGACCTGCGACATAGCACACAGAAGTGGAGCACCGATTCTGAGACCGGTTAAGAACCTCGTACATACCTGGATAGCGGCCTTGTTGTAGCCCGTAAGAGGACAGACCTACAGTAAGGGCCTCACCCTCGGCCAAACAAAACCTTTCCGCCATATCTGTGGCTGTAAAAACTTCTGATGTAGTGACGTGCAGTAAGTCAACCCTAGTTTAGGTCAGGGTAAGAAGACTTGGGGTAGGTTGATCCCAGTATAAATGTCGAGGCGTGATGGAATGGACTTGAAAATGATGGCTCTGGGAGCAGGGTTGGAGTTAGTTCTGGTTGAGATATCGTCAAATAAGGTAATGAAAAGTGTATGAACTCAATACTAGAATTGACGAGGTGTGGGTTTATGGTTGGAATGATGAGCTATTGAGGGAATTGCAGTTAGTTGAGAGAAAGTGAGAGAGAGTTGGAGAGAAAGTGAACGGCGCAATTAGCTCGGGTCAGCTAATGTCGCGTGCCCCCCTTTTTCAGTGTTCAATTTCCCTGCTGTTCCCGGCCCACGAAGGCCTTAGAAACACACTTTGATCGCAAGCAACTTCGAGACGCGCAAACCCACGACCCCACTGGCACATCTACATACAAAGCTACGTGCGATAGGCCACCGCCGGTCGATTCCACGTCACTGGCACCGAAGGAGGGGCTACGCGGATAGCGCACCGCTTGCGGTGTGTTCTTCCCATGGCACAGATAGGTGAGGGGGGGGAAGTGAACAGCGATGAAGGGAGGGCTGGACACTCGGACCACAGGGGTGGCGGTGGTTCTAAGGGCGGTGGGATGGATGAGTTGCCGACGGGAGGGGATGAGTCGGCGGCTAAAGTGCTGTCAGTGAAAGGGGAAGCGGTGACGGAGAGACCTCGGCAGGAAGGGAAATGAAGGTCGGGTGGAGACGTCGAAGTTGGAGACTCACGTCAGACAAGGGAAGTGCTATCTAAGAGTGTACAGCAGACATTCGACGATGCACAACGGACAGAGGCTGAGGTCTCTGGGGGAAAGGGTGGAAGGCCTGGGGGCAAGTGGGGTTATGAGGGTATTGCGCACGCTGGGGGGGGGAGTGTGTCGCGCAAGGGTGGAACGGCGGTGGGTGACTTGGAAAAAGGTGTGTCGTCAACTCTAGCAAAAGAGCTGACGCAGATCACGGGAGATCGGGGCAGAGAANGGGGAAGTGTGTCGCAAAAGGGTGGAACGGCGGTGGGTGACTTGGAAAATGGTGTGTCTTCAAGTCTAGCAAAAGGGCTGACGCAGATCACGGGAGATCGGGGCAGAGAGATGTGGGAGAGTCATGTGTCTGCGAGTCGGGGAAGGAGTCTGACGAGAGGCTCGGGGGCAGGGGCAAGGCGCCTCAGCGCAGATCAGAGGATGGCAATTGAGGCAATGGCAATGCCAGGGTTTCAGGTGTTAGCGCCACGAAGCAAGAGAGGTGGGGAGGAATACTATCACGTCGAACAAGCAAAATGCGCAGAAACAGAAGGTCACAGACACCTGACGCGGGTCATTTTATTTCTCGTACGTCAGGTAATGAGCGAGACCAAGGGCCCGTGAAGGATGAAGACAATCGCAAGAGGGGGGCTGGTGCCCCGGTGGAGGAGGATGGTGGAGGGGGCAGTGCCTCGGACGAGGGTGGTGGAGGGGATGGAGAGTCCCTTGGTGGGCAGCCATCGGACGGGGGGAAGGTGAGAGACACATCGAGTGCGATCCTTGACTTGTTACATTCGCATTTTGGGGGTGATGTGGAGGCTCTCCAAAGTCTGGTGTCCAATATGGGGGGAGGTGGAAGAAGGGAACCAGAGTCAGACGCAGAAATCGCAATCCGTCTGAGTGGGGAGGAGAAGGCAAGATTGTTGATGGAACAACAACAAGTGGCTAGTGAGAAACTGGCGAAGGAGATGGAAAGCACGTTTGAAGCAGCAGACAACTTTGTGCCACCCCGAAAACCTGAACTTGAATCCAGCTGTGAGTAAGACGAATCTAGCCAGCTTGATTTTAGTAACTCTGAGACGGTGTCGGGTCAATCAGTGTTGGCGGGAAATCGCTTCAGTCGTTGGTCGAAGACAGTGAGGATGACCAGTTTCCTCCGTTACCATCCATGCAACGCGTAACCAACCCATGACAGGTGGTGGGACAGAAAGCAGGGTCAAAGAAGAAGAGGTTGGAACCACCCTCCCCTCAAATCTCTATCCCTCTCCAAATGGTGGCTTTGGCTGAGAAACACCACGAGGAGCAGCGAAAAGCTTTCGAGAAAAGTAGACTTGAGCTTGACGGGGCGTGAGTTCGAAGAGCAGAAGAGCACTGTGCCTCACCTTGAGAAGAAATGGGAGAAAGTACAGAAGGACCCAGAAATCAAGAGGTTGACTACACTTATCACGATGCTTGCGCAGAAGGGGGAAGAGGCCAAAAAGAAAGTGAAGGAGGCAGAGTGGAAAAAAAACTCATTATTAGCGCGAGGTATCACCCACTGCCCTGCTTTACTTTCTTTTTGGCCTCTTCCCCCTTCTGCGCAAGCATCGTGATAAGTGTAGTCAACCTCTTGATTTCTGGGTCCTTCTGTACTTTCTCCCATTTCTTCTCAAGGTGAGACACAGTGCTCTTCTGCTCTTCGAACTCACGCTTTACCCCGTCAAGCTCAAGTCTACTTTTCAAGACCGAACAAGAAGCCAAAGAGCAGGAATGTTCCGACCAGGAAAAAGGAATGGTGGGGCAAGGGTGAAAACAACCCTGGACAAAGCGCAGAAAGAACTAGAAAGTTTGAAGGAGAAATTCGGTGCGGCGAATTACGCCAATCTGGGACACAGAAAGGACTCAGAAGCTGCGCGAAATGCTCTGCGCACTGCCAACAAGCGGCTGGGATTGAGAGCCTACCCATGCCGGCACCACCTACCGAAAAGACAAAGGTCAAGAAGGCCCAGACAAAGCTCTCAAAGCAGGAGGACGGGGAGAGGGCAAAGGGAGGGGGAAGGGAAAGGTCAAGGAAGGGGGATGAGACTAAGGTGGAAGGGACAAGGGTGGCAGGGGGTACGGGGTACGTTATTCCCAAGATAGTGACGGCCACTCCAGACAACCCGAAAGACAACGTGTTCAAGGATATTCTGGCACAATACCCCGTTCTAGATGGTAAGACACTCGCAGAAATGGTGAAAGAAAGGAAAAAGAGAGCTGCATTTGACGAGGCAATGAGACAGAAATAAGGGGAGGGGTATTCCTCTAGCCGGGAAAGTGTGTCGAGTGCTTCTTCCTCCCAACCGGGAAGGGGGTGGGGGAAAGGCAAGAGACCAGGTCGGGCAGGGTCTGGTTTTGGCACCCTTTCGTCATCTAGTTCCTCTCCGAGTGGGGGCCGAGGGGGCTTGTGCCACAAGTCAGGAAGGGGATCCCCGAGGAGGAACGGTTCCCAGGGTGGAGGTAGAGGCAACCGAGGAGGTAGAGGTATGCCAAGGCATTCGAGGGGTGGTGGTCGAGGAGGACAGGGCACTAGTCAGAGTGGGGGCAGGGAGGAAAGAGCAAATGTCCACCGAGGGCAGCACCACCATGACTGGCAGGCACCACCGCCCCAGCAGCAGCAACCGCAGCCGCAGCAACAGCAGCAATGGCAGCAGCCACGCCGCAGATGCAGGCGTCACCACCGTCCTAATAGTTACAGGGAAGGGGGGGGTATGACGGGGGTCCTCAAGGGGGCACGGTCTACTGCGGCCAGCAAGGCAACTTCCATACTGGAAGGTGGGTGGGAGGTGACAGGGGCGGTAACGTGTCTGTCAAGGAGGAAGTGAAGGAGGAGGAGGTGTTGAGGGAAGAAAAGACTACACATGTTGATGAAAAGCTCAAAACAGAGTTCCAAGAAGGGTTGTCGAACAAAGAGAAAGAAATCGAAACTCTGAAGCAGAAGTTGGCTGAAATGGGAGGTCAGTTCAGACAAGTGAGCCTCCAGGACACGGACGAAAAACCTCGAACATGTGCAACAGCAGTCGCATCTGAACCTAGTGTGGCTGCAAGGGAGGTGGCGCCTGTCAAACAAGAGCAGGAAGATGTTGTGTCTCACTCAGCGACGGTAGCGACGGTTAAGAAAGAACCGGAGAGCATCACGATCCAGCCGTTGACCTCGAGGGAGAAACAAAAAAATACGGGTTATGTGACGATGAACATGAAGGATTGGACTAAGCTTCCTTGGATACCACTTGCTGATTCGCCGGGAGAGCTGGTTTCTTTCAACACAAGGTTGGAAGATACGGTCAACGATGTGTTTTTGGCGGTGGGGGATTACTGTGGATGGTGGGTCCCAGGGCGGGAAAAACCTGTGCACAGGCATCTGATCACTTCCATTACCCGATCCATGTCCCCTGCCCAGACGATGACGTTCCGCGAGAAGATAGTCAAGGTCTTTGCGGACACATCGAAGAAGATGGAAGAAGGGTCAACGGGTAGGAAGGCGCTGGCATTGTTCACTTCGGCGTTGGGGAGGTTAGTGAGTTCATCCTCGCCCGAGAAAATGGTGGACGACTTGCAGACCTTTGCGGTACCGACTGGAACGCCGTATAGTGAGTACTTGAGTACCTTGCAGGGGTTGGTGCACAATGTTCGGAACTTGGGAATTGTGACGCCGCAGGATAAGACAATTCAACTGGCAGTCAGAGAGAGTGTGTCTGATCAACACAGTGTTCTGACCGCTTCCGTGTTTAAGGGCAAGGAGTTGGGAGTGGTGCCGTTCGATAACATAGACACCTTGATGCATGAATTGCGAGATTTCGAGGCGGTCAAGGGGGGGGCAACGACTCCGACGCGAAGGATGGCTCAGGTGAAGAGCTCCTCTGGGGGGAGGCAGGGACAAAGAGGGGATGGAGGAGGAAGGACAGGGTCAGGGGGGGGGAATACTTTTCGGTCCGCATCTCCTGGCAGGTCCGATGGTTGATATGGGGGTAGGAGGGTGATGACGGTGGAAGACATGGATTACGAGGACGAATGCGAAGAACTTAAGAGTCTATGACATTCACGTGCCGCCTCGCACAAACAGCCAGGTGATTGATTGCCCTTTCTCCGCGTGGTTTACGTCTTTCGAGGAAAGGACAGGCACAGACGGGCGTTCGGGTCAAGGTGTTTGAACTGTGGTAGTGAAGGACACTTTGTGCGGGATTGTGACAAGGGTTACATTAACGCCTCAAATATGCTGAACCGAAATTTGGCAAACGGGTCAAAGGCCGAAGTCAAGGCAAGATGGGATCGGTGGTTAAATCGTCTGAAACAATGGCAAGCACATCGTATGGAGGTGAGGAGGAGAGATAAATAACCGATGGTGCGACGGTCAGTTGGTCAGCTTGCCGGTAGCACCTTGGCCGAGTTGCTTTGTGGGTGATCAGGAAGAGAGAGAAGAGAAAAGGGGTGTGGAGGTGAAGGGTGAAAGGGGTGGCAAGTATTGCGAGATATAAAACAAATCTCGAGGGGTGGAAGTGAAGGGTGAAAGGGGTGAAAATAATTTCGAGAAAAAAAATAACTTCGACAAGTGATGGTGCAGGATGAAGGAGGTCCCGGGTATTGTGATAACGAAAAGAAATATCGCGGGCAGAAGGGAAGAAAGCAGAGCCAAGGACCGGGATCAAAACAGAATCTCGGGGAGGATGGGGAAAAGAGAAAACAATAATCACGCAAGAACATCGAAGACGACTCGGAGGGTGGGATTGTAGAGGAGGAGGGGGGCCGATCGGTGGTGCACAACACCGAGCGTGATGGCCTGGCGACGGGGAGCGTCTCGTCCAATCACGGTGNTCGCGGGCAGAAGGGAAGAAAGCAGAGCCAAGGACCGGGATCAAAACAGAATCTCGGGGAGGATGGGGAAAAGAGAAAACAATAATCACGCAAGAACATCGAAGACGACTCGGAGGGTGGGATTGTAGAGGAGGAGGGGGGCCGATCGGTGGTGCACAACACCGAGCGTGATGGCCTGGCGACGGGGAGCGTCTCGTCCAATCACGGTGAGCGACGTTTTTCAGCATCTAAGGAGTATTCCAAGCAGGGTGGAAGTAATTATCCCAAACTGCAAGTGGTTTCGGGTGCTGATAAATTGAACTGCACGGATGTAGGCCGTGGGAGCAAGAATGTATTAAGGGCTAGAACCCCGCAAGAAATTCTTGGTCGTAGTGTGTCGCAACATGCACGTGCACAGCTTCAGGAAACAATCACTAATAAGACACACAGGAATTTCCAGAAGAAGGGGTGCCGAACACACCCCCTTCGTCAGATCAAACGAATTTTAGCATTGGCACAATAGGAAAATTCATGACAATGCAAAACCAGCGGGGAATGCGTTGAACACTCAAAGGAAGAAAATACGCAAGGCAAATTCTCCGAGAGCAGTGATGTGTCCGCTGGATCCTCAAGCGGAGCACACAGTTGGTCGAAATGGTTCCAAAAAGGGGTCGATAAATAGGGACACTCGGAGGGAAAAAAGCGTTACCGTTGATCGTGCTGGGGGCAAACAGAACCATGAAACTGTTGCTTTACCAGTGATAGGAGAAGAGGGCGTGATAGGGGATGCATCCGCCTCTGAAAATTCTCTCAAGCGTGAGGTTGAGGTAACAGCGCGAGAGGGAGGAAATTTTGGTGAAACACGGAAAGGAACAGATCGCATTTTTGCCGTACAAGAATCTGCTACTTCTGTGTCAGGACAAAGGAGTGATGCGGTGTACCCTCCGCCTCCATTTATGTTTGCTGCAGGTGAAGCGGCGGACTACCTGTCACCATATAATCGGTCGGTCGGCGGGGATTTGACGATGGATCGACATCGGCATACGACTAGAGTGCAAGTGTTCGCGGGGTCAAGAGCGGCCAAGATGATGTTNGCATCCGCCTCTGAAAATTCTCTCAAGCGTGAGGTTGAGGTAACAGCGCGAGAGGGAGGAAATTTTGGTGAAACACGGAAAGGAACAGATCGCATTTTTGCCGTACAAGAATCTGCTACTTCTGTGTCAGGACAAAGGAGTGATGCGGTGTACCCTCCGCCTCCATTTATGTTTGCTGCAGGTGAAGCGGCGGACTACCTGTCACCATATAATCGGTCGGTCGGCGGGGATTTGACGATGGATCGACATCGGCATACGACTAGAGTGCAAGTGTTCGCGGGGTCAAGAGCGGCCAAGATGATGTTGTGGGAGGCTCTGTTGGATACGGGAAGTCCGGCATCGTTTGTACAAGAAAGGTGTGTGCAAAAGATGTTGGCATGTGCTTAAGCTTCAACTGATAGCATTGAAACGGGGCTGAACAAGAAATGGGGTGGGTTCCATGGGGTGCCATTGGTTACAGATGGAACGATTCAATATTGAAATGTGGAAAGGCGGGAAATCAGCGCCGGTTCATTTCGGTACACCGACGGTACGGACGAGTGTGTATGCGTAAATTGTGCCAGACTCGGCCATGGGACATGATCTGATACTAGGGAGGGATAGCTGGGCTTATTTTCAAGTTCGCAGCTTCCAAGACGTGTCAGACACAGAAACAATTGTCACCTTTGTCGGTGCAAATACTGATAAGGTGGCAGGAGATCACCGCTTTGATAAATGGGGCGGTAACGCGGTTGGTATTGTGGAAACGGAAGGTGATGGGAAGGTGGTGGTGAAATCTGATGGTAGTAGACGATGGCTTCCAAATGCGATGTCATGGGTGGAGGTAAAATTGACCAACCTAGATGGCAGTGACGCTGCGGTGGTGACGTACCGTGTGCAGTTTGGGAAGAAGTGGTTCCCGCAGGAAGCGTTAGTCGAAAATGGCACGTCTGAAATTCCTTTAAGAAGAGTGGGGGAAAGCTCGTGTCTGGTGAAACCAAACGATATTTTGGGGTACGGTGGTGAACCCCTGGAGGTGGTATATCTGGATGATGCTCGTTTGGTGGAAAATGAGGAATTCAAAAGTGTATTTGCGGTTCAGGAGGGTGGAGAGGCTGACATGCCTAACGACGAACCTCCCGCTGATGTTATGTCTTTTTTGAATGGGGCGCCACAGGTAGCGTTCAGGCGGTTGTGGCAGAGGGTGCCTCGGCACATTCGAGACGTCCATTTCGACTTCAATGCCAAACTGTGGGAGCCGGAGGACATTGGCAAACTAGGTGATCTATTGTGCAAGTTTGAGCATCGTTTTTCGAAGGGTGGTTCGGATTTAGGGCGAGTGACGGTGGATCCGTTTCGAATCATTTTGAAGTCGGGGGCACAGCCAGTGCGGCAGAGGCCATATCGCTGTTCGCCGGTTATGAACGAAAAGGCGCAGATCGAAATCGACAAATTGCTGTTGAAGGGTGTGTTGCGGAGATCGTATAGCAATTGGGCGAGTCCGCTGGTGGTAGTCGCGAAGGCTAACGGTGGCGTACGGTTGACGGTCAACTACAAGCGCATCAATAAAATGAGTGTAATCCCGAAATTGCCCATTCCGATAGTGGAGGATATTTTGGCGGAATTGGACAAATCGAAAATCTTCAGTACGCTGGATTTGGTCAGAGGGTTTTACCAGTGCAGTATTGAGGAGGAGAGCATTCCGATCACTGCTGTTATCACGTCTACGGGTATGCCGGGGTGGACGGGG